ACGTTTGGCGTTGTTTAGCCTTTTATCGATCGTGAACAGAGTCTATTCGGTGATCCAATAAACTGTTCATCAAATATTCAGCTAGAGATCAGGGCGACCCAGTCACTCCACAAAGGCTTTCTAAATGGATAGTCCACACTATTGTCTTGTGTTATCAGTTAGCTAAGCTCGAATTGCCTTCAGTTCCTCGAGGCCATTCTACTAGAGCTGTCGCTACATCTTCTGCATTCGCATCCGGGGTTCCGATTGATGAAGTCTGCAGAGCTGCTACTTGGGCGAATCCCTGCACTTTCGCCAAGCATTACCGTCTCGATGTTTGGGCTCGACGGGACTGCTCCTTCGGTAGAGCTGTTCTCTTCTCCGTCCTTCGATGAGGACACCTTCCCTCCTCCTTTGATGGTAAGCTTGTTAATCTACCCATATGTGTGATGCACAGAGGCCACGACAAAGAAAAGCAGGTTGCTTACCTGTAACTGATGTATAAAGAGTGTTATATGAACATGGTATCATTATGCCAGCTCTGATTGGCTATTGGCATTATCACAGAGGGCATATGTAACCAGTGTATAATGAGGATAGTGCTTAGCACCTTGCACTCTTTGATAGATGATAAGCACTGGAACTCCTTCATGGGTCACTGCCTTGTTGTGGTGAAGGGACTGGCGTAGCTCAATGAAGCTATGAGCTATGCTGTGCAGGGCTACCCAGAATGAACAGGTCATAGCAGAGAGCTCTGACAAAACGTGATCCTCTGGAGAAGGAAATGGCAACCCACTCCAGTATCTTTGCCATGAAAACCCCATGGACACCACCAAAAGGCAAAAAGGTATGATGCCGGAAGATGAGCCCCTCAGGTTGGAAGGTGTCCAATATGCTACTGGGGAAGAGCAGAGGGCTAGTACTAATAGTGCCAGAAAGAATGAAGCGACTGTATCAAAGCCGAAAGGACACTCAGTTGCAGATGTATCTGGTGGTGAAAGGACAGTCTGATGCTGTAAAATCTATACTCCATAGGAACCTGGAATGTAAGATTCATGAATCAAGGCAAGCTGCATGTGGTCAAACGAGATGGCAAGACTGAACATCGACATCTTAGGAATCAGTGAACTAAAATGGACAGGAATGGGTGAATTTAATTCGGATGACCATCAGGTATGCTACTGCAGGCAAGAATCCTTCAGAAGAAATGGAGCAGCCTTCATAGTCAATAAAAGAGTAGGAAAAGCAGTACTGGGATACAATCTCCAAAATGACAGAATTATCTCAGTTCGACTTCAAGGCAAACCATTCAACATCACAGTTGTCCAAGTCTATGCCCCAATCACTGGTGCTGAAGAGGCTGGAGTTGACCAGATCTATGAAGGCCTACAACACCTTCTAGAAATAACACCAAAAAATGATGTCCTTATCATCATGGGGGATTGGAATGCTAAAATAGGAAGCCAAAAGATAACCGGAATAACAGGCAAGTTTGGCCTTGGAGTACAAAATGAAGCAGGACACAGGCTGGTAGAATTTTGTCAAGAGAATATGCTGGTCATAGCAAACACTCTTTTCCAACAACCCAAGAGACGACTCTACACATGGCCATCACCAGATGGTCAACACAGAAATCATATTGACTATGTGCTCTGCAGCCAAAGATGGAGAAGCTCTATACAGTCAGTAAAAACAAGACCAGGAGCTGACTGTGGCTCAAATCATGAGCTTCTTGTTGCAAAATTTAGGCTTCTTGTTGCAAAATTTAGTGAAGAAAATAGGGAAAAGCACTAGGCCACTCAGGTATGACCTAAATCATATCCCTGATGAATAGATTTAAGGAATTAGATCTGATAGACAGAGTGCCTGAAGAAATATGGATGGAGGTTCACAACAATTGTACAAGAGGTAGCAACTAAAACTATCCCAAAGAAAAAGAAATGCAAGAAAGCAAAATGGCTGTCTGAGAAGCTTTAAAATAGCTGAGGAAAGAAGGGAAGTGAAAGGCAAGGGAGAAAGATACACCCAACTGAATGCAGAATTCCAGAGAATAGCTAAAAGAAATAAGAATGCCTTCTTAAATGAACAGTGCAAAGAAACCAGAGAAAACAATAGAATAGGGAAACCAGAGATCTCCTCAAGAAAATTGGAGATATGAAGGGAATGTTTCATGGAAAGATGGGCATGATAAAGGACTAAAATGGCAGGGACCTAACAGAGGCAGAAGAGATTAAAAAGAGGTGGCAAGATTACACAGAAGATCTATACAAGAAAGAGCTTAACGTCCCTGATAACCACGATTGGGTGGTCGCTGACCTCGAGCCAGACATCCTGGAACGTGAAGTCAAATGGGCCTTAGGAAGTCTGAGCAACAACAAATCTAGTGGAGGAGACAGTATCCCAGCTGAGCTATTCAAAATCTTAAAAGACGATGCAGTAAGAGTGCTACACTCAATATGCTAGCAAACTCGGAAAACTCAACAGTGGCCACAGGATTGGAAAAGGTCAGTTTACATTCCGATCCCAAAGAAGGGCTGTGCCAAAGAATGTTCAAACTACTGCACCATTTCACATGTTAGCAAAGTTATGCTCAAAATCCTACAAGCTAGCCTCCAGCAGTATGTGGACCAAGAACTACCAGAAGTATAGGCAGGATTTCGAAGAGGGAGCGAAACTAGAGATCAAATTGCTAGCATACGCTGGATTATGGAGAAAGCTAGGGAGTTCCAGAAAATCATCTACTGCTTCATGGACTATGCTAAAGCCTTTGATTGTGTGGATCACAACAAACTGTGGCACGTTCTTAAAGAGATGGGAGTACCAGACCATCTTATTTGTCTCTTGGGAAACCTATATGCGGATCAAGAAGCAACAGTGAGAACTGGGTACGGAACCACTGATTGGTTCAAAATTGAGAAAGGAGTTTGGCAAGGCTGTATACTGTTGCCCTGCCTGTTTAACTTATATGCAGAGCACATCATGAGAAAGGCGGGGCTAGATGAATCACCAGTTGAAATTAAGATTGTGGGGAGAAATATCAACAACCTCAGATATGCAGATGATACCACTCTAATGGCAGAAAGTGAAGAGAATCTAAAGAGCCTCTTGATGCTGCTGAAGGAGGAGAGTGCAAAAGTTGGCTTGACACTCAACATTAAGAAAACTAAGATCATGGCATCCGGTCCTATCACTTCCTGGCAAATAGATGGGGAAGAAATGGAGGTAGTGACAGTTTTTATTTTCCTGGGCTTCAAGATCACCACAGACGGGGACTGCAGCCAAGAAATTAAGAAAGACTTGCTCCTGGGGAGGAAAGCTATGGCAAATCTAGACAGCATACTAAATAGCAGAGACATCACCCTGCCAACAAAAGTGCATATAGTCAAGGCTATGGTTTTCCCAGTTGCAAGGTATGACTCTGAAAGTTGGACCATAAGGAAGGCTGAGCGCCAAAGAATTGAGTCCTTTGAATTGTGGTGCTGGAGGAGACTCTGAGTCCCTTGGACTGCAAGGCGATCAAACCGGTCAGTCCTAGGGGAGATCAACCCTGACTGCTCTTTAGAAGGCCAGATACTGAAGATGAAACTCAAATACTTTGGCCACCTAACGAGAAGGAAGGACTCCCTGGAGAAGAGCCTAATGCTGAGAACAATAGATGGCAAAAAAAGAACGGGACGGCAGAGATGAGGTGGCTAGATGGAGTCACTGAAGCAGTTGGTGTGAGCTTGAGTAGACTCTGGGGGATGGTTGAGGACAGGAAGGCCTGGAGGAATGTTGTCCATGGGGTCGCGATAGGTCAGACACGACTTCGCAACTAACAACAAAGCACTGGAAATGAGGGTAATATTGCCAAAATAGCAAAAGCTATGGGAACAGGAGTCCAGGGGAGAGGATTAGGGATGGGGGAGGAATCTGATTCTCCATGTCAAAAGTCAGTACTTTCTAGCATTTGTATAAAAATGAAAAACATCATTATTAGCCTTGGAGAAGCACTAAAATGCAGCTTTGCAATCTTCTGTCAAGCATAAAATAAAAAGCAAACTTGATATGCAAGTGTTATAAAGTAGCATGTTCATTCTTGCTCTTTCCCCTGTTATTCCCATCACTGCAACCTCTTAACTATCTTTTGTACTTGTTCAGACCTTACTTTCCCCTGAGTCTGTTGCCATCCTGTGTGGGTGAATGATGCTGTTTTGGCTACATATGGATTTACATATGGAGAATAAACTGCTGTTAGTATACAGGATCCCTTTCTGGAGCAGAAAAATAGAATAAGTTGAAGTGTTTAGCACCAGGTATTCTGTGCTTCCTCAAACAGATTACACTCTAATTCTGCTTGCAAATTCCCAACATGCAGGAAAGCATTTAATATCCTAATTACTAGAAGAAATAGTATGCCTTGCTTGAAATGAATTCACAGGAACATTTTAAAAACAGCAAGCAGATTGGTCAGAAGTGGTGGGTAAAGCACCTTTATAGGGATTGAACCACAAAGACTGTTGGTCCTTTCCAGCTTTGGTGCTGTAAACAATAATAGCTGAAGAAACCATAGTTGAAGTAATATTTTGAGTCATTAACATATACCTCATGAAAAAGTGAATAAAAACCAGAATACCTATCTAGCAGCAATTGTCTGTTTTTTAAGAACATACATTTACCTTAGATATTTAATTTACCTAAGATCTTATGTTTCCATTACTATTGGTGTTAACCATATTGCCACCAGGATGCAGAATACTTATTTGCTATCAGTGTGTGAACGTAAGACAAGTAAAGCTTAGAATCCTGTTTCTGAATTTAAGAACCACTGTGATTAATACTGTGGTGACAATGCATAATCCTCATTCTAGTATCAATCTCTGTATTGCAATACCATCCACTACTTTATTAAGTTGTTTTGGTCCTGTAATTTCGTCCTTATCGTTTTTACTTTTGTGGTATTCAGCCAACTCCCCCACACCCCAAAAAAGGAACAGTTGTAGCAATTAAGACAATGTCCAAATCTATCTTAATTCCTACAGAGCAGCGGATCCAGACTTTTCTTAGGCACTGCTTGTATCCAGGTGGCCAGAAATCTAAGAATCTACTCCAAGGCCTGGCTCCTATTCAGGAAGAACTACTGGAAGTTGGTCAGAGATTTGGCAGCTTGGTTAATCACAACAGACAGGTGTTTGGTCCCTACTACTCAGGAATACTGAAGAAATTGCTGCTTCCAGAGGGAAAGTCTGACACAGGGACAGTATCTTATTAACCATCTCAAACAAGGCGGAGCATGTGACAGCAGGGAGAGGGGAGAAGATGACTGGCAATTGCTCAGACTGTGCTTTGGCTCAATGTCCAGTGTAATCAACTGAGCAGCTGTCCTGCTCTGTGCTTTGATAGTGAAAGCACTTAAACAGCTGGACCATTGAAACTGCACAGTACAGTTACATAAATACCAACTGACAATGCCAAGTGTGTCACAGTAAACCTTTAAACAGCTCAACGCATTGTCTTGTATTTTTAGACCACCCAGTGCATCGACTGTAGTCTAAGGCTAGTAGCCTGATCCTATAGCCATTATATTTATTTCCCTATTTAAATATATACCATTAGATTGTAAGTAACTGGAGATTAATAGTGAAACCTTATACCCATTTACTCAAAAGTAAAGCACAGTGAGATTGAGAGTTAATTTCAAACTGTGTATAGCACTGTAGCCCTAAGTGATTTCACTGAAACATATTTGCAACCATGTTTAGAAATGCAGTATTCTTATAATACAAAGCACAAACTAACACTCATACCACAACAACACATACAGAGATGTCTAATTTTATTAATTTAGTCTGTTCTAAGTCATACAATTATGAAAAAAAAAAACAACAAAACGACTGCTGGAAGCCCAGGAATATTTACAGTTTCGCCTTGTTGTAGTGAGGTCAGTCTATGTTGTTGCACAGATTGGTTATGCCTGGTACCACAAAAATGGACAGATTAACGATTTTATATACAGGAAATAAAAAGGAAATAGTTCAAGTATCAAAATACAAAGACAGATTAAATAACATTTTTATTACAAATCAGTCCCACTGCCATACATCACAATTAGCAAAAAACGTTATATTGTAAACCAAACTGCCCGTTACCAAGAATCTACCTGCCCTTTTTAGGTGCAAGCATAGTGGAAAATCCTGTTGATAATGTTCATACTGATCATGCAAAAGGAGACAATGTTGGACTGAAGTCATCCAACTCATTTTAGTTTCACAGATGAAGTTATTCAAAAAAGTGAGGTACCATCAGATATCTGATTTACAAGAACAGCACAGCTCACCACCTGAAGCTGCTCTGGAATTGATCTTCTGGAGGGGTCAGCAGAATTTTTATATATATCCAATTGAAGCACTTTCCTCACAGATTATGATAGTCTTAATGCCAGCTTCTGTGTGCTGACAATAGTACATACAGAATAAAAAGATGACAAGAGTTTGATTTTATAAGGTGATTTCCCCATTCAAGAGAGAAGCAATAATTCCCTCATCTATCTTAGCATCAATAGTGTGTTCTCATCCTGGATATATATATATACAAGGTAAGAATAAGTCTACAGAAAACATATCACATCATTTTGAAAATGGGAACAAATGGAATGCTGGCAAAAGCAGCATAGACAGATGATGCCACAGGAGCAGAGGCTGGTGCTAAAACAGCATTTTCAATTAAAATCAAACATACATTTGAGTATGAGGAATATATTTTTCTTAGTGTGCTGCAAATTCCATAGAGGCAAGCACTTCAAATACTGCAAAATATTCATACTGTTTGGAACCTGAAAATTAAGTATAATCTCTAGGAAAGTCAAACTCAAGGATGTGTTTGATTGCCATCTTAAAAAGAATGCATAACCAGGAGATGCACTTAGAAGTATTGCTATATTCATGTAAGATTAGAAAGGAAGCACCTGATAACTGGAAGAAGCAAGTTGTAAGCTTTTGCAATCTCTCTCTGTCACCATGTTCTAAGGCTACCCCTTCATAGCAGAACAGTTCAGTTTGTCTTGTCTCAGAACAGACTTCTCAGTACAGCAATATTTATACCAACACCAGCATATCAGTTACATATGCATATAAAGGAATGTCACATTTCCAAAATTCATCCACTATTTCCAAATCCAGGCCTTTTGGGTGGTGGTTTGGTTCCCCCAACCCCCTTTCATCAACAGGAATAAGACTAAATTACATCTTAAAAGATACAGCAGTAACAAAAGTTGAAACAAGCCATTAACACAGTAGCAGGGTACCACAAGCTATCACATCTGCCACAGACTTATTTGCACTTCCTTATCTTCCCTCAGGGTATAGAAAGATGCATGCATCACAGCCAAAACCAATGTTTGAGACTGTGATACTTTATGTGAAGCATAATTATAAGCACAGCTTCCATCTGAAGCAGTCATTTTTGACTGGCGTAGAACAAAAAATCAACTTTTAGCATAATGCCCAAAAGTTCTCTCCATGTTTTTTCATATTCTGAAATGGTTGTACTAAGCATACTTAAATTATGAGCTAGTATAAAAAGTGCTACTCAGTGAATAAACTTCTTAAAATCTCAAATCATTAGGGCATAACCACATTTTAAAAAACATGGTACATGAATGAAATATAAGGGTCCAAAGTCCAGTTTGTGTATACTGTGTGTGTGTGTGGGTGGTACTTTTACAGAACAGAAAGACTGCAATTGCATATTTCTTTGCAGTGAAAACAAGCTTCTGTTCAGCACAGGGGTTAAAATATTGATATATTCATTAAAATGCCCTATCTCCCACTTAAATGCTTACTAAGGTTTGTAACTAAGTTACAAATGGTTTGATGATGGTCAACTTAGGTGCTTGTACCTTCAAAGCAAATTTAAGATTGCAGCAATTTCGGAATTTGTCTACTACTTATTTAAGCCAAAGTGAAAGCATACACTCCCAACCTATATTATAAGACAGGCATTTGTGTTTTCTTTTAGCAGTTAAGATTCTCCACTTCTATCAATTGTATCCTGAAATTTTGGATTTCATATGATCACTGCACATTAGCAAACCTCCCCAAAGACACAACTGTTTCAAACCGGAGCACATGGCATCAGTCTCTTAACCTCAGATGTTTCAATTGTCTTGCTAGAAACACATACTGCTTTTTGTTAGCTTGTGACTGGAATCCCTTTTTTTACTCAACTCTGGAAGTCCTTAATGAGCAGCCAAGGACACATCCCAGAGCCAGATGTTGATCTTCATATCGCCAGGGTTTCACTGCTTCTTAAGTGTTCTGCCCATTTACTACATTTCCATGGTGGAATGCGGATGTCTGCAGTTCAGCTTGGCAGAAGGTAAACAGAATGGGGACAATATTAATGGAAAGAAAAATAGGGAAGGAGCAATTTCATTCATACAAAACATCCAAGGGAAGTTTAAGATTACAGTGATGGAAAAATTAATGAGGCCATAAGCTTTGTGTTTGTAGAAGTCCCCTATTCATAACAAATTGCTCTGATATTTTTTGGTTATTTTACCATTAAAAGGCACATGTACTATGTCACCAGGTTTTCAAAAGAACAAAGTACTAGTAATTTCTAAAACTGATCATAACAACTGCAAAATATCTGATTAGCAGCCACTAACATGGGGATTTAAACTACTCAAAAGAAGAAATTCGTTTGCTTTTTGATTTCTTCTCTCACTTAGACTAGACAAGGATGACATTTTCTTGATACCTTTGTACAAAAACTTCTGTTTTAACCCAGTAACAAGTATCAAATCTAAATGCTTTGAGGATAAGAGACTAGGCCTAAACTTAGTATTGAGAGCTGATTGTAATCCAGGTTATGACCTTTCTTTGAAATAATCTTTTAAGGAGCCAGACAAAGTTTGTATTTGAACAATAAGAGAAGCTAAATAGACTACTAGCCTGCCTGAATATAGGTGAATGACAAATATTTTGATAGCACCAATGGGCCCAGCATACTACATACAACATGTTCTATAGTAGGAGCTTGGACCTCTTTCAATCTGAAAGAAGCATTTCAAACCTTTAGAATGAGGAAAATTGCACAAAAATCAGGACTTCACCAAATGATTGAAGAAATAGCTGAGGAACTCCAGGAATCCAGATGTGACCAGTGGGCCTTATGCTTTCTACCCATATTCCAGAGCAACATGTTCAGAAGAAATGTTGGCCATTTTTATTCAAAAGGGCAATGGTTCTAATATAATGAAATATTCCAACCCCTTTCTTTTCCTACTTGTCTAGACCTGCAGCCTTATCTGATACTGTTAATTTCTGTCCTGAATTTAGAATTAGTCACATGTGCCTTTGAAAGGTTCAATTTAAATCAGAGCCCAGAAAATGTGATACAGAATGATTTTTAAGCAGATCGGTTAGCATAAACAGAAAGATTGAGTGGTAAATACTAGAGATGTCAAAAAAGCATCCTTTTTAACAGCAGAAAACATTCCTTCTGGGCATTCGCTGTTTAAAGCCTGACTCCTAACAAAATGAGAAAGTGTTGATTCAGAGCAGTCATGCTGCCCAGTAGACTTTTAAATTATTCCATGCATTCAGATATCCGGGTACAGCAAAGACTGAGCAGGATCCATGCTAGGAAATCAGGTGAGCAAGAGGTTTGCAAGCAGTATCACAGTGGTTAGTATCTTCTGAGATGACAGGTAAAGGAGTGCTACTTGTTGGAACAGTTTGTGGCCATGGCTCAGTGTGGAGGTATAAATCTAGATTGCAACAGCATGTATACATGAGACCAGTTGTAGAACAGTCCAAGAATAAGAATGCTAAATAGAAAAGGCCTATGGAGTGTTACTTCACCCCACAAATTCACAGTGTCAAAATGAAGAGAAAGTCAAACATCAGGTTGCTTCCACAATCCACATATTCGCCTCCCATATGCTTCATTTCTCCCACCTCTCAGACATCTAAAACAGGTGGCTCTCTCAGTAAGTTACCCTTGTTTCCATTAGGAGAATTCACAGTGTTCAGTAGAAATCAGATACAAAAGGCTGTTTATAGTATCCTAGTGCTGCTGTCTCTGATGGTGCCACACCTAGTGCCAGCAATGGGAGGAAGGAGGGGTTTAAAACAGCAGATAGATCAGACTGCAAAGGCACGGATAGACTGGATGGATGCAGGATTTGTTTTCAGAAGATAGTGGTCTCATACTTAGTGTTGAGGGTCCTCTTGGAATCCTGCTTGGGCTCTACAACCCAGGACACACTAGCATGGGACTGAGCTTCTTGGTCCACTTCAGATGATTCCAGCTAAAAAAACATTGGAAGGAAAGAACATGTCAGCAAGCTGCTCACTTTGAAAATGTGAAAGCTGAACTAGGTCATGTTTTAAAACTTAAGTTGAAATTGTGCACATACACAAGGATACAACACTTAGTATGTCACCATAAAGATTTGGACCCATTTTCAAATAATAGAAACAGATTATTTTAGGGTTAGAACAAATTTAAATTGTTTAAGCACAAATCAATACAAATTCAAAATGAAAACTGATTTGCTGAAATTCAGGAAGATGAGATGAATGAAGATTTTAGATTGTTATGGTCAGCCACATCTAGTTATGTTTTTCTGGTCTACGCTACTCTTGTGGACAATATAACTCTTCCCCTTAAAACTGAGTTTAACAGGATTAAAAAACAACAGGGTTTGTATCAAAGCAACATTTTAACAGTTGTTCTCAGCATTCCTCTTGTGTAATGTAAGGGGGAAATGAATGAATTAACCTACCAAAAAGTTCAAAAGAGAAAAAAAAACACAGAAAGAGTAACAAAAATAAGGGGAAAGAATGAGGGACTCTGAAGGAGAATTGACTGGATTAAAAAAAGTGTTCAGAATCAGAGATGTGACTGCAAGAAGGGTAAAGACCTTAGCTCCTTGACTAACAGAATGCAGCGGCAGATAGGAGGGACGGTGTGTAGTACAGGTGTGACAGTAACAACAGCGACTATCGGGAGGGAGCGGCACCTGAGGAATGGGAGCAAGCAAAACACAGACAAAAGGTAACATTAAAAGAGAGCAACAAGTGTAGAAAGCACATGGGCCAGCTGGCCTATCAGTTTATTTCCTTGTTACATTAACAAGGATGCTCAATGAGACTTGGACTGTTGAAGAACAGAAAGTGATGATGTGCTCCTACAGAGGAAGTTTGACAGAACAAGAATGCATGCATGTGCACAAAGGCACCAGCAAATGGTAATTCATTAGACACCAGCAGATTATGCTCCTACCACTAGTGCTAGCAAAGAAGGCCAAAACAGTTCTTGCAGGAAAAGAAAGAGGGAAACAATTTAACCTACAGGCTGCTGAACAGGGAAACCTCTGGAGGGAAACCAACTTTATAGCACAGTAACCCTAACAATCATAAAAATACTGTCCACTCTCTTCATGGGTTCCTATTTTATTGCAACTTTGTTCCATGTATAGTTCACATTTGAGAAATAGCAACATGTTTAACTCAATTTCTTTCTGTCTCAGCCCCAAGATCCATGCAGCATTGGATCTTTGGCAAATGAATCAACACAAGCACACACTTATCACTTAGTGGAAGGTAAGCTGGGACATAATGCATTTATGCCTTAATTGCTACATGAATCCACTTCATTAAATCACGTATGAAAGAGAGCTTGCCCATGGTTAGTGAGTGACTCTTGCTAGTAATTCTTTTCTGTAGAAGTATTTACCACCCATCCCTTTTTAGATGTTCAGACCACCAGCACAGTCATATAATTAAAACATACAATTAACTTAAGTGAAGCCTCATGAAATAGAGTCCACGACACAGGAGTGACTAGGTGCATTGTTAGCAAGAATACAAGTTAACTTGTAAAAACCATGAGCAAACTCTCCATAAATTATACAATTAAACATTTCTGATTATTTGTCTTAAAAATAAAAGGTTTGTATAATTCTGAGTCTCTATAATAATCTACAATCCCTTCTATTATGTTGTAGCTGTTTGTTGGGATATTGGCTATCTACTTACCTTGAAATGACTCTATAGAGGCAGTGAAAATAAGAGGAATTCAGATTGCTAAGAAAGAGATAAACACAAAGCAACTATTTGCCTGGGGTGTTTCCCCATCAGCTGTGTTCAGAAACCATGTTAAAAAACTGTGTAACCCAAGAGAAAAGAATCAAAGTTCTTTTAACATACGTACTGCTGATTTCCTCATGCTGGCTCGAGGTTTAGGCACCGGTTTAGAAGATTTTGTTTCTATCATTTCAGCTGTCAAAGCACCTGGAGGTTTTGATTTTTGGGCTTGGAGAGCCAACTGGTAGGCTACTTCGAATGCTTGTCCCAACGTCAGTATGATTTCATATGTTAGATTCTTGAGAAAAGAAATGAAAGGTACATATTACTTCAAATTCTAGAACAGTTGCTGTGTTACTATGGTTCAGCAAAAAGAGTGCTGTGTGGTACCTTAAAGACCATTGGGCAAGGGCTTACTTCACATGTTGAACAGCATTTCTGAGCATCTGATCTTTTACGTGCACACAAAAAAAGGCAAAAAAGGTGCATCTCCTAAATTAGAGACAGAGAAAGGAGCAATAGTCCTCCCTTCCCACTTTTATTTCATCACCCTGCTACCACTATGGATACGTATGCATCGGTCAGTCTTTATCTGTGTTTACTGCTGGATATCAAATTCTTGCCAAATCTTTGTGTCTGTGGATCTGTCTGACATTCAAAATACGTGTTAATTTCTCCCCTTGCTCCCAAACTGGAAAAATTTCTTGGTTAAGAAATTAATTGTCCCAAGTCTTTCTCAGTGAATATAGGTGAATAATTATCAACTAGACTCTTCAGTGGATTATGAGCACAATCCTAATTAAACGTTGCTAGATAGAGGGCTCCAGCAGGAATGGATCCAGCAGGATGGGATGAGCATGGCAGTAAAAATGCCTGGTTCCTTCCTTTCCTTATAGTTTTCAGTAAGATGAATTTTTGTGGGGAGAGGGGAGCTTAGGAGTGGAAAGGGGAATGTGCTATATCTTCTGGTTCCTGATTGGCTCTCTCAGGAATGACAGTATTTCTTTACCTAAGGGTTAAGTGATAATAATCATGTTTTGTTCATAGCCAAATACTTAGAAGAAAACCCCCTTAGTTTACTCAACACTGAAAAATGTTCATATAATGCAGAACTTCCTTTCATTAAATTCATTTTTAACTGGGGTCAGGGTCAGCATCAAGCCTTTTTCTTTAACTTGTAACAGCAGAGGAGTTAAATGCCTCCCCCACTGGCAACATGCCATATACATATGTCAACTTGACTGGCAACTGCCTTTTATACTGCAACATTGGCAAAGAAGTAACACCTGCTGTTGCACCTGAGAAGTGCAGGATAGCTTGGGGGTACACACACTGCTGTATTCTTCCACAACTCACTGCTTCTGCCTGCATCGCTCTGCCTAATGTCAGGCAAGCCCTGACTGGGGAAAATTTTGATTCATATGTGGAGGAAATTTTCATACGGAAAGCTAAGAATGAAATAGACATTCTTTACCAATATAATTGGTGCCATAAAGTACTAAACACCGACACAGTGAAACAAGGATACTTCAAAATTAAAGAAAATGCACAAAGGACCAGTAAGTATACTTGACAAACGGGCATGATATGAATGATGGAAATAAATGGACTTTCTGCAAAACAAAAAAATCATATTTGGAATATTTACTAGACCTGAACTGAAAATCAAGTTCAGTTTATTTTCTAACTTAAATGAAAATTAGGAAAAATCTTTAGACTTTTGTGTCATTTATGTAGTTCTTCTATGAATTATGTTTATATATAAAACAAATAAAACACATACAGGTTTCAAACAAAAATTTAAACTACTCTAGTATTTAATTCTAACATTCTAGACAAAAGATGATGTATATTTCATACAAAAATTCTTTTTATAAAGTATTTAGAGGTAAATATGAGAATACACCCCTTCATAGATCACTGTCTTGTCATGGTGAAGGGGCTTGTGTAGCACAATGAAGCTATGAGTTATGCCGTGCAGGGCCACCCAAGACAAACATGTCATAGCAGAGAGCTCTGACAAAACGTGATCCTCTGGAGAAGGAAATGCCAACCCACTCCAGTATATTTGCCATGAAAACCCCATGGACACCACCAAAAGGCAAAAAGATATGATTCCAGAAGATGAGCCCCTCAGGTCAGAAGGTGTCCAATATACTACTGGGGAAGAGCAGAGGGCTAGTACTAATAGCACCAGAAAGAATGAAGCAACTGGGTAGCCAAAAGGACACTCAGTTGCAGATGTATCTGGTGGGGAAAGGAGAGTCCGATGCTGTAAAAATCTATATTCCATAGGAATCTGGAATGTAAGGTCGATGAATCAAGGCAAGCTGGACATGGTCAAACAAGAGATGACAAGACTGAAAATCAACATTTTAGGAATCAGTGAACTAAAATGGACAGGAATGGGTGAATTCAGTTCAGGTAACCATCAGGTATTCTACTGCGGGCAAGAATCCTTCAGAAGAAATGGAGCAGCCTTCATAGTCAATAAAAGAGTAGGAAAAGCAGTACTGGGATACAATCTCTAAAATGACAGAATGATCTCAGTTCGACTTCAAGGCAAACCATTCAACATCACAGTAGTCCAAGTCTAAGCCCCAACCACTGATGCTGAAGAGGCTGAAGTGGACTGGTTCTATGAAGGCCTACAACACCTTCTAGAAATAACACCAAAAAATGATGTCCTTATCATCATGGGGGATTGGAATGCTAAAGTAGGAAGCCAAAAGATAACCGGAATAACAGGCAAGTTTGGCCTTGGAGTACAAAATGAAGCAGGGCACAGGCTGGTAGAATTTTGTCAAGAGAATATGATGGACATAGCAAACACTCTTTTCCAATAGCCCAAGAGACAACTCTACACATGGACATCATCAGATAGTCAACACAGAAATCATATTGACTATGTGCTCTACAGCCAAAGATGGAGAAGCTCTATACAGTCAGTAAAAACAAGATCAGGAGCTGACAGTGGCTCAGATCATGAGCTTCTTGTTGCAAAATTTAGGCTTCTTGTTGCAAAATTTAGTGAAGAAAATAGGGAAAAGCACTAGGCCACTCAGGTATGACCTAAATCATATCCCTGATGAATAGATTTAAGAAATCAGATCTGATAGACAGAGTGCCTGAAGAACTATGGATGGAGGTTCACAACATTGTACAAGAGGTAGCAACTAAACCATCCCAGAGAAAAAGAAATGCAAGAAAGCAAAATGGCTGTCTGAGGAAGCTTTACAAATAGCTGAGGAAAGAATGGAAGCGAAAGGCAAGGGAGAAAGAGATAGATACACCCAACTGAATGCAGAATTCCAGAGAATAGCTAAAAGAAATAAGAATGCCTTCTTAAATGAACAGTGCAAAGAAACAGAATAATTGGAGATATGAAGGGAACGCTTCATGCAAAGATGGGCATGATAAAGGACCAAAATGGCAGGGACCTAACAGAGGCAGAGGAGATTAAGAAGAGGTGGCAAGATTACACAGAACAACTGAACAAGAAAGAGCTTAATATCCCTGATAACCACGATGGTGTGGTCACTGACCTTGAGCCAGACTTCCTGGAATGTGAAGTCAAATGGGTCTTAGGAAGTCAGAGCAACAACAAAGCGACTGGAGGTGACAGTATTCCAGATGAGCTATTCAAAATCTATGCTAAAGCCTTTGATTGTGTGGATCACAACAAACTGTGGCATGTTCTTAAAGAGATGGGAGTACCAGACCATCTTATTTGTCTCTTGAGAAACCTATATGCGGATCAAGAAGCAACAGTGGGAACTGGACACGGAACCACTGATTGGTTCAAAATTGAGAAAGGAGTTCGGAAAGGCTGTATACTATCGCCTGCCTATTTGACTTATATGCAGAGCACATCATGAGAAAGGCGGGGCTAGATGAATCACAAGTTGGAATTAAGATTGCTGGGAGAAAAATCAACAACCTCAGATATGCAGATGATACCACTCTAATGGCAGAAAGTGAAGAGGATCTAAAGAGCCTCTTGATGCTGGTGAAGGAGGAGAGCACAAAAGTTGGCTTGAAACTCAACATTAAGAAAACTAAGATCATGGCATCCGGTCCTATCACTTCCTGGCAAATAGATGGGGAAGAAATGGAGCTAGTGACAGATTTTATTTTCCTGGGCTCCAAGATCACCACAGACGGGGACTGCAGCCAAGAAATTAAAAGACGCTTGCTCCTTGGGAGGAAACCTATGGCAAATTTAGACAGCATGCTAAAAAGCAGAGACATCACCCTGCCAACAAAAGTGCGTATAGTCAAGGCTATGATTTTCCCAGTTGCAATGTATGGCTGTGAAAGTTGGACCATAAGGAAGGCTGAGCGCCAAAGAATTGAGGCCTTTGAATTGTGGCGCTGGCGGAGACTCCTGCAAGTCCCTTGGACAACAAGGTGATCAAACGGATCAGTCCTAGAGGAGATCAACCCTGACTGCTCTTTAGAAAGCGAGATACTGAAGATGAAACTCAAATACTTTGGCCACCCAATGGGAAGGAAGGACTCCCTGAAGAAGAGCCTAATGCTGGGAACAATAGATGGCAAAAGAAGAAGGGGACGGCAGAGAATGAGATGGCTGGATGGAGTCACTGAAGCAGTTGGTGTGAGCTTGAGTGGACTCCAGGGGATGGTGGAGGACAGGAAGGCCTGGAGGAATGTTGTCCATGGGGTCGGACACGAGTTCGCGACTAACAACAACAGGAATACAAAATGAATCATTATTTCTACTCATAACTTCTTGTCCAAATATTAACACAGCTATCAACTTCCCACATGTGAAGACCATTAATATGACCCTCACACACAACTTATATTGGGGAAAAAAGGATCTATGGGTAGAAATGGCACTCATAAGCCAGGAGACCTTGCTTTCATTTTTTAATATACTGAAATTTAATGTGGATATTCTGCTTCACTATATGTCTGCGAGAGTGCCAGGACTGGTCATCCAAACACATGTACCTGACCCTTCATATTCAGAGGCAAGCCAATTCTATGGTGCAACATATGTTGCTTAAATCCTTGCACTCTATCACTTGCATGATTTACCCCCAAGCCCAAAGTTTTATATTCCAGACCAACTAATTGCAGATGATCTCTGAAACACAGAATGCTCCATAAAAGAAAGCATTAAAAGTGTTTTGGATTCCATTCTACTTACTACATCAATGGTACTGAAAACATGGCAGTAATGATGGCTTGTCTGCAAGTCCTTGGTGATGTAAGCAAACGTACAAAGATCTTCTGGGTCCTGGGCAGCACAAGAGATGTTCCGGATTTCATGCTCAGCAATAACATTCTGCAAAACACAAACAGCCTGCTACTTTTGCTCAATATCATACAGAACATTATTCTATACAAACAGTATTCACAAGAAAAACAAAGATTCCTGCTATCAATTCCTATCTTCATAGAAATAACTGGTGGCTTTCTGAGTATCTCTTTTTATTAATCGTTCTGCCCAATTGTAGCAGCAATCATGTAATCTTCAACAGATCTTGTAAATGTCACAATAGCCCAACTGAACAATTACGCTCTGTGAGGCCAAACAGTCATGGTTAAGGAAATAATCTACTCCATAATTATCTAATTGCCAGGATTCATCCCTGGAATTTATATTCATTCCTTGGATGCACTTTCTGGAGAAAATATATAATCCTAACTGATTATATAAATGAGAGGCAAGTGCAGTGGAGCTGGGAGCAACTGAAGGTGGTGGCAAATAGTGCTAAACATTTATCTTCTCCATGCTTTCCATCCATAGCAAATTATCACATGTCTCTATTTTCAATGTCCCGTGCTCATAATATATCAAAGCACATGATAGAGATACCATTTCTTCTGTTCCTTTGATAAACACAGTCATTACTAGCAGAAGTAACAAGCCTAAAAATATACCTGAGGCAGCAGTGATAAATATAAGGTAGCAAAGGACTATAGTTGGCAGTTTCAATCTCTTATATACGGACAGTGATTCATGAGGCTTAAAAAAACAACCCCAATAGGCAAACCCTGCCTTATGCAAGAAGCTGCCACATGCACCGAGTGAGACCATCGGTCAATTTAGCTTAGTATTGTCTATACCAGGGGTCCTCAAACTTTTTGAACAGGGGGCCAGTTGAAAGGCTGCGGTGATCGTCGCCGGCTGGTGAGGTGGGGGTGCCTGGGGGCGTGGGCCGGTGAGGTGCCGTCCGGCGCACATGGCAGTGGCTCGCTCACTTGGAGATCGCCCAGCGAGTCCAAAACCATCTCCGAGCAAGCAAACCACCACCTCCCTGCCTGCGCAGCAAGCGCATGGGTGAGCAAAGAACCGTGACGCAGGCCGGATGGATGGCCATGGTGGGCTGGATCCTTCCCATGGGCCCTAGTTTGAGTACCCATGGTCGATACTGACTGACAAGCAGCTGTCTAGGATTCAGACAAGGGCCTTTCCCAGCCCTACCTGGGATGCCAGAGACTGAATTGGAGACCTTTTGCATGCAAAGCATGTACTCTACCCCTGAATGGCTACAGGCTTCTGAGTTGCTACCTCGGTGGCTTCTATCTGCAGTGGTGCCACGTGGGAGCCTGCTTTCTGTGATTCAACTGCCAGAGCAGTAAGGTCAGGGTAGATGGGTTTAAAGCATTCCTGTGTCTTCCCTATCAGCAGTTGTAACAATATCAGAAGAAAGGCAAGCGCTATTTGGATACAAGAAGAAAACAAATACAGGGGGTGCCAAAAATGCATACACATTTTAAGAGATGTTATCTATGTATTACTTTTCGAAGTTGAATTGAATTACGGTAGCAATGTGTTATGACGTTCACTCAAAAAATGACGTTAATCAAATGAATAATGTCACCATGTGACACTTTTTAATACAGTTTTTCCCTTTCCTAAAATGTCTACATTTTTTACATCCTCTGTATTTTCTTCCTTAATCTTCTACCTTTGTACAGGATTTTCTAAAATGTTTTGTCTTTCTATTGATAAGAAACGAGAAGTTTTACAAACAGATGAATTGCCAGTTATTTCCACTGTTCACTATCACTTATCCCTCAGACTTCAAATACTATAAACTCAGATGCTGTGCTCCTCCTTTGATTTATTGTAAGACGGTCCTGAGACCATTTGGTAGTGGATGATATACAAAAGTTTTAAATAAATGAATAAAATATTCTCCTTACCTTGTTAGACGCATCTATGAACTTCACTCCTTTGTAAGTGATAGATAATATTATAGTTGGGACCTTCTTCATATGCTCTGTGGATTTCTTTATAAAACAATGGAAAACCTCATTAAAGATATGGATTATATCATTTTCCTTCCCATGAATGGAAGTGTGCACAGGCAAGATAACATGTTTTGGCAGTAGTGTCTTCAGAAATGAGAGTTTTGCAAGATACTGCAAGCTTTCTTTTTTCTCAATGCTTTATTTTTTAACCAAAACAAAGCTTTAAAGTTAAGGATCATTAAGTGAAGCATATTACAAGTTTTTCACAGACTGGCAATAAACGACCCGATATGTTATATAACTGCTGAAAAGAAATTTGTCCAAGAAATTTGTTTTATTTACTGCTTCTGTATACTGTTCAGAGCTGTCGAAGCTCTCAGAATGGTTTGCAACCAAATAAATAACAATATAATAGTATAATTATTTAAAATACATAAAGTTATACAGCAATAAACTCAACAACATATAACAATAAAACAAAGCAAAATAAAATAAAATCCATCCACAGAGGCCCTTCCACCTTGCCCATATCTTAAACCTGCTCTTACACTACAGTGCCTACAAGAAATATAAAAATGTTCTTACTATCATCAAACTAAATAAACCACAGATGATGATAAAGTGAGTAAATAAATAATCAATTTAAAAACCAATAGAAAATCAACAAAAATGTAATAAAAATAACAATTAACAATTAGTAATTACTCCACAGTATCCACAAAAAAGTAATAAAATAATTGCAATTAAAATTGCCAACAATGAAAATACATGGAAACTAAAAGGTGTTTGGTCTGGGTGTTGAAAAGCGTAACATATTGGCATCAGGCACACCTCTCTGGGGAGCTGGTTCTATAATTGGCATGCTATGGTGGAGAAAGCCCTTCTCCTGGTAGCTGTACTTTTTACCTCCTGAAGGGGTGGCTCCTGGAGAAGGATCTGTGCAGCTGACCTCTGCAGAGTTGATGGAAAATGCTGCTGGTCACAGAGCCCACCTGATATTCCAGGGACAGCTCTGGGTCCAGGAGCACCGCCAAATGGCATATCCTGTCCTTCAGGGGGAGTGCAACTCCATCAAGGACAAATATCCTCTCTCTGGACTGAGAACCCACCTACCAGTATTATTTCCATCCAGTTGACCACTACAAGGTGAAAGAGCAATTACAAAATTGAAAAGTTTGTTGTGGTTTGGATGCAATTCATATGGCTTATGCTCTAAGCAGAACCTTCAGATCTTGGAGCGACATAATAAACAGTTCCTTTTCAAGAGTGATATCAAATGCACACCTACCCTCATCTTTGCACAAGCATCCTGGGTTGATTCTGTTCCTCGAAGATCTTTGATTAACATGGACCCTAAATACTAAATTTGAACAGAGAAGGAATAGCAACTGTCAACACAATATTTGTATACATTCACCAAGAGATATGGAGAAGACATAGGAAAAGTATGGATGATACTTTAATCCCAGGGTGGCTATAAATACAACAAGACATGGCTACTTGGGGTGGAGTGGGGTGGGTTCACATGATACACCCGATGGCTTAACACGTCATGCAAACCCCATTATGGTGACACTTTCAGGAACAACATAATTGCCTCTGAACTTCTGTTTTTCTAGTTTCCCAATTTTACCACCTTGTCAAACAATAACTAAAAGAAGCTCTTAACTAGGTGGCAGAGCAAACTTAAAGGGACAGGCAAGATTGAAGTGACATCCAGATAATCAATTTGTGAAAAAATCTGGACTATACCTACATTGGCTTCATACCCACAAGACTCAAATATAAGTTTTTCTGGTTGGTGCTGCCAGTGTTGGACAGGGGCATAAGGAGCAGCCAGGCTTGGAGGTCTGAGTGTAAGTTTGGATTCACGACGCTCCTCCTGAAAGCAGAAGTCAGAATTGAGAACTGCTTCACAAATGTTTCAAAAATGCATGTTACACAAAGCATCGGTCTCAAGATATATTTAAGCATCTTTTTCACCAGGCTCAGAGTGCTAATACATAGACAAACTCACAATATAAAGGCACATATGAGGCAAAAAAGATTTAAACCCTCACTTAAAGAGTTGATAAAAAAGGACACTTTTACACACTTCTCAAAAGGACTTCCTGGAGAATTTTCCAAAGTTTTGAGACTTCCCGCCACGGCTATCCAAATCTGGCATATAAAAGGAATACATGGCAATGCTAATTTACTGGACCTCAGCTGGTCGGTGGGCTCAAGTGAGTCCATTTCACAAATGAGAGTACAGCTAACTGTAATGTGTGCTAGCTTCAACACACATGCGTGTGCACACAAACACACACCCTTTAGAAAATAAGGGTATAATCCAATGCCTGTTTAGATGTAAAAAGGTCCTCTAACTCCCCATGTTCTCCAGCCAGCCTTGGAGGACTTAGGGTTGTATGATATTTTCTGTCTAAGCACGCATAGGATTGGCACCTTAAACGTTTCTAATCATATTGCATAAGTCAGCTTTGTGGTTAGACACTGTCTGGTTACCTGTGGTAAGTAAAAACTGCCTCCATTCATCCTTTTTAGTTCCTTTGCCATGAGAGAAAAAGTGATGATGTGCGACTGCTGCTGATTCTTAGCAAAATTCATCATGTCCAGACTCAGAATAGCCAGAGTTAGGCATTTTTCTCTGGTCTGGGCAACAGCCATGTATTATAGCTGCACTTCTACAGTGGAGACCAAAGCCAAAATACTCATGTGCTTTTCTGCCCAAGGGAATGGCTAAGGCTATGGTAAGGGTCCCACCAAAATGAAAGAGCATTGATTTGTTATCATTTGCTGCTGCATCTTCCACATGAATACACAGATAAATTAACAAAAGAATAGAGCATTTTAAAGAATTAAGATGGCACAGACCTGTGCTTTGAGTCTCTCTGTTCTGGGGTAAGATGCAACATCATGGCTACTCTCATGTCTCTTCCTTCCAACATCCCCCAAAGGTAGCAGAAGATCTGCAGATCTTCCAGTACAAGAGTCACTCTGACTCAGGGGTGAAGATGTCTGGGATATCAAATCCTGGCACTGGAATCAGATAAATATCACAACAATTTGTCTTTCATGGCATATACTCAGAGCATCTTTTCTGCAAGCCAGGAGGACAGCATAGTGTAACAAGTTTTCAGTAGTATGCCTATTAAAACTAAAATAACAAAAAAAGCTGTTCACTTAATTAGCCTCCATGCTAAAGGAATCTGCTTTCAGACAGAAGGAAAGAAACTGGGAGCTACTAAACTGATCTAGTCATGCATTTGAGATGCTAATATAAGTCTGCCACATAATGTGGATCATTGAGGGCTCTGTCCAATTCAGACTGACGCAGCTATGAAGCATCATTAGCCAAAGTTCTGAACCTAAGCACAGAGAACTAATTACCTGCCATGAAAGTGATTGTAAGGTCAAACAACAAAAAACTTTGCGGCACTATAAAGACAAACACATTTATTCTGATTTAAAATTTCATAGACACTGTCCACCTCATCAGATACACAGGCAGTTTCTTTCAGAAGTCAATGGATTTCCATTCCATATGGTTAATCCTAGTGCCTCCTTATCCTTAACATTTTCCAGAGGGAAGCCATGTTAGGCTTTTGCAGCAGAAGCCACAGTCTTTAAGGTACCACATGACTAGCATATTTATTTAATGATGTGGACAGTGTCCATGAAAGCTGATGCCATAATAAATGTATTAGTCTTTAAGGTGCCATAAGACCCTTCATTGGCTGCAATAAGGGGGAAGACTTCTGTAACTGATTCTCTTTGGTCTAGTACATAAAAAAATATAGGCAGTGTTAAAGCCACGTGTTTAATTTTAAAGCATAGCTCAAAAAATAATAGTGACAAATAAGGTCAATTTCACACATCATGCAGAGGCAAATGCTGTTTTGCTGCAGAGTGTACACTTATTGAGAAGCTACAGCCAATGCACTTGATGAAGGACTGCATGATACATGATTTGCAAGTGTCAAACACATTCAAAATCTATGTTTTTAGCTGAATGTCTCAAAATCTTGTGTAGGCACAAAATTATGTGTCCACTGGATAAAAAAAATAGATAAAACACAGGATAGGTCTCTTCCTTCTTCATTGATTGCACATTTGCCAGTGTCAGAGCCACTGTCAAGGAGCGGCTCCTCTCTCCTTTTCTAGTTATCACACCTGCAGTGGATGATTTGCTGCCTTTCTCATGGCAGAAGAAAGTTTCCCTGCACTGCAAAAGAATCATTCTAACTGATTTCCCCATGATAGGTGGCAACTTGGGCAGTCACTACAAGGACAAGCAAATGAGGGCTCTGCTGCATTTTTCAATATTGCAGTAAGTGCCAGATTCCATTTTAATCTAAGTGTAGTGATACGTTATACAGTAGATGTTTATTTGTGTCCTTGTGATACCAGTAAGACTGTAGGTAATTGTGGTAGTGGAAGAGAACCCATGCTCCAAATTATTAAGTGGTACAAGCACATAAACCATGTTACAAAGATCACAAAGATGACTAAGCTTGGGGAGCCTGAGACCCGGGGTCTCTCAAGATACGTATGTATTGTGCAAACAGCTGTGGCTATGATGGGGTTGAAGAGCCTTCCTGACAGTAGGAAAGATGGTAAGTTGTATGATCACTACAGCAAGCTCAAGCATTCCAGACAATCCTCTTTCTTTCATGGTTGCAAGGCACCAGTTACATGAACAGAATGAATCACCTTCAGGTTATGATATCCTTAGACGGTTTCTACCTATGAGGCCAGGGAGGTCAGTTCTGGACTTTGCTACTACATATTCTATTTGCGCAGAGGGCTATGATGCAAATGTCCCTGACACTTAGTTTTCTATGTGAATAAAATGCTTTAGATGTTTAACCATTCAGTCATGTACATCCCCACTACAGGTTGAAGATCCAGCCTCATTTGCTCCTTGAGATAACCAGGCCTTCACATACCTGTTACTCCTGCTCTTGCACTAACACTTACTATAGATGGCTAGCCTTTAAAAAGATCCAAGTCACTACAGCAGTTCTTAACTGGCTTCAATATTTAAGATTTTCATCATCATAGGATCATTTTCACACAATCACCATTTAGAAATCCTGTGGAAACTATTTCTGAACTGCAATTATGTGTGATGTAGGGCATGAAACATCTGTAAGGACATGTCCTTGAGTCTTGCGACTTTCCCCTTTCAACAGGAAGGATCATAAGGACTCAATATACAGTTTGAGTGTATGTCAGCATCATGGAGGCTGACATATATGTTCAGCCTCCATGATGCTCCATGTCAAAAAGAGAAGGTCACAAGAATCAAGCCCGTGTCCTTGCAGATTTTTCATGCCCTACATCACACATAAATGCATCTTCAGTGGTGTAGTATGCACAGGACCATCACACATGTGGAGGCTAAAATGTACATAGCTCCACTACTCAATTATACCTATAAGATTCTGGCCAGTAAATATGTGAACTGGCTGATAGGTAGAAAAACCTAACACTAACTCAAAGACAATCACCATTCTTAATTTTCCAGTTGTTGCTGTCTGATATTTAATGCAAGCAAGGTAATCATTTTCTAAATGCAACAAAGCTGTAAAATGTAGAGAAATGCTTTATAACCTCTAAAATAGCAAACACCTGGTTATTCCAATGACAGAATAACATGGATTTCTAAACTTTCAGACTTTGGCTCTCCAAGGTGAAAAAACAAACCTGTTCTTTGTTTTTGTAATTTAGGGTTGGGGGTAGGGGGAGAGAAAAGAAAAAGGGCCAGCAGCAGCAGATTACTGCAATGCTCCTCAAGCATAACAGACACAGCGGGGGGAAATCCTTATTCTGCCTGCTTCATTCCCCAGATTGCATTTGAACCATGCCCACTGGGCTAGCAATAAAAAAAGAAGTTAAGAGTCAAGTATAACTACTCACGTAATTCAGTTGCTTAAACCTAGCGACGCATTTCTGTTCCCTTAATATATATATAGAGTAAACTTTGCAACTTGGTATTTCTACTGAGATTTACTGGCTTACTTTTCAGAGATGAAAAGAGATTTCAAAGAAATGAGATTTCATACCAAATTTTGATCGGAGGCTGAGCTGGAGCTGCTCTGAAGCTCCTCAGCTCTAAATTAAAATGTTCCATTGATTTTAAAAATTCAGGTATTCTTATTCGGTTCTCACCACCAGCTCCACCATGGTTTATTTCCCTTAGTTAGAGAACACAGAGTTGAAAGAACAGCAAGACCCACCTTGCAATGTCCAGTGTTTTCTTAAAAATTAAAACAAAAAACTATCAGGTAAGCAATCTCAAATACAAGCAATGACTCACTCTTAGCTGAGAGAATCGTGGTGGTTTCTGTGGAGGCTCCTCATATGGTCTGTCTGCCAGGGATGCTATTATTCGCTTACGATGGCCAAGAAGGTTTACTTTGAGCACCTGCAGAAAAGGAGAAAATGAACAAAGAAATGTGACAAAAAGTTCCTATGTTGTGGCCTCTTGCAGAGTTGTGTCTATTTAACCAATGTTTACCTGGAAAGCAACTTACATTTACTAGTTCTAACTCCCAGAGGTTTTTTACAGAGTCTATAGAACTGTATCCACTTGACAGAAATGACTGAATGTAATCCTGCAGTCCCAGGGAGTCGAGCCATGCAGGAACAGAGGGCTGAGTCCCATCACAGCCCAGGGATTTGACCTATAGATACAGCAAAAGAAAAAAGTATTCTAGCTGCAAGAGATTCAGATGTTTTAGATTGTTTAAAATTAGCATTTTAATGTGAATAAGCAATTTGAGATTGCATGTGGTCACCCCACAATTCCCTGTGAGGTACAAGGAATCAGTCACTATTAAGTGGACTCAGTCACTGAGACTAGCTACACAATGGATGTATCTGAATCACAGTAACCCTTCCAGCACCACCCTACCACTCCCAGGAAAAAGTTGATGTGTGAGAAAAGAATTTGGAGACAGTCATGTAAGAGAGAGTTCTTAATTTTATGCTCATTTGCTACTACTCTGTTCCAAGGTGACCCCAAAGCTACTGTTCATTGTCATGGAAGTGTTATTTATATGCACACCACCACACTTTCTCCTCTCCAAAACACCTCTTTTCCTTCGAAGGACTGAAAGGCCCTTGCAGAGTTTGACCAGAAGCGCAAAGGATAGGGAGCTGGCTTATGCCAAGTCTGGCCAACAATGAACAGCAGTAGCTCTCCAGGATTTCAGGCAGATGTTTCCAGCCCCATGCAGAAATATCATGAACCTGCTACATGCAAAGTCTGCTGCTGAGCTACAGCCCCTTCTCTTGGTGTCAATCCTGCAGTTTGCTTAATGGCCTGAAGTTAAGTTAATCTGAGACCTCATAAAAGGAGGGTGGGCAACTTGCAGCCCTTGACTACTCTAGTCCAATTGCAAACTCTCTCTGCAACTAGCAAAACCAATCTGTCCATCCTTCAGTAGCCTGCTTTGTGGGGGAGGTGACTGAGAAAAAGATAAAATGGGATGTGGCCCCTAACAGGTTATCCCCAGTGGAATGTGGCCCTTGGCAACAACAAGCTTCCTCACCCCCAGTTCTATATATCAGCATGACCATAATCATTGCAGCAAGTAACAGAATAAATCCCAAAGGCACATCTATTCTAGCAAGTTTATGAAAATTTATAGGCTCTCTAAATTGACTAACGATCAGGATCACCAAAAGAAAACCCCATTCACTCCAGCTAACATTAATCAGAGCTGATTTCTTGGAATTCATGCTTCTCCAGTCTTCCAGATAGGTACCAGGGCTTTTAGTGGCTCATGCAGAAAACGTAAGAAGAAGATTACAGAATAACAGAAGAACAGTAAATGGAAATTAGAGAAAATACCTGATGAGACAAAAGTGCGCTAATTAGAAAATTCAGCTCCTTGTAATAGTTTGCTAGAGCATGAGACAATTCACATTTCTGTAAAGTGTGGCAAGCTTTTTCTATGCACTTTGCTTTTCAAAAAGCAGATAGTATGACCAAGCAAAGTGGTTTCTTTGGCTGTGTGAATTGTTAGAAGCAGACTGTTTGGGAATGCTAGAACTACTATTCTAGGAGGTGACATTTCACTCACACACACACACAAAAATGCCCCATTCAGTACAAAAATACATGAAATACAGTTAGAACATTTGGAAATACCCTGCTTTTCCAATAAATAGATCGGACAAGGGGAGACTTCATTGGTCCATTTAAGACAGAAATATCTATATTGGCATTCTTGGAGAACTGAGTCCTCCTTCAATCATCTCTACAAAAAACAGAAAACCTATCCATCCATCCATCTTGCTATTATACTGCCCCGTAGCCCAGAGGCTGTCTGGGTGCTTTGGACTAGCAAGTCTTTAGCTCTTCAGCCATAGAACAACACAGCCAGTGCACATCTGTTCACAAAATGTAGGCCCTGCTTTAGAGGTATTCACGTTGTTGTTACTTGCCATCAAATTGTCTCTGACTTATGGCAACCCTATGAATGAAAGTCCTCTATCCATGACAGCTCCACTCAGCTCTTGTAAATGTCAGGCTGTGGCTTCCTTTATGGAGTCAATCCACTAGGTTTCTTCTAGTGAGTACATAAATCTATATATCCATATTATCCAAACTGTGGGATCCAACATTTACTCCTGGCTCCAGTGATAGCTCCACATCAATCTTGCAACCACCACCTGACCCTAATATGAAATGTCAACCAAACCCCTCCTCTTCCGATTAATCCTGGTACTCTGAACATGCAGACACTATGACTTTATCGACAAGTCAGGGCTTTTTCCACTCCCCCATGCCCCAACAACTGCTCTCTGTAACATCTTGCCTGATAAGAGAGACCTGGAGACCTTGAATGCTTGCTCTCTTTGGTGATCTTAGGCTAGCCTACTAAAATGCATAACACCACTACAATTTTGGATATATTTTCTTATGGCCCACATAGCTACCTTTGCTTTTTACATAAACGCATAGTTTATTCAGACATTACAATAAACAACATGTATCATTTTGTATAATTCCAAATGATTCACTAACTGGTCTGCTTTTTAACTCAAATATTTATCTATGAAGTGCTCTTCTTTTTGTATTTAGCTTTCTGTTTGCAATTCTTTTTATTATTGCAGAGTTTACTTATCTTTCTGTAAAATAATATACCCATTCACAATTATGGGAATTCAAGATATCTGTACACTATCCTAACTTTCTTTCCATCTGAAAATATGTAACATTTTAACCTTAGGAAGGGAGCGTGCTGCCTGAAGAAGTTTTCTGCGATGCTGAGGATCACTGATACCAATCTCTCGAAGGTCTTGATCTTCCATAACATTGCAGCCCTACAAGAAAGCAATACAGTCATAGAACAAAACCCAAGAGAACGAAACTCACACTTCAATCCTGTTTAAGTTCCACAATTATGCATGAACAAAGAATTTGGCATCCTGAAAATCTATGCTTTAATTTTAATGCAAGTTTCTAGTTCTTGGCTGTAAACATTATCTTGAAGTTGTGTGGAAAACACAAAACACCTCAGTAGTCAGGGAGGGGAAGCATGATTTCCAGTGGTAAACATCAGGTTTGTTTTTGCCTACTCTTTCTGTGGAGACACAGAATTATGTGTAACATTATACAGATAAGAACTCAGCTTTTGTTGGCACAGAATTTGTGTTACATTAGTAAAACATTGTTCCTTTGATCATAGTTCCATCCTTGTCTCAATTAGAGAAAGGGAGCAACACAGGAGCCTTTACAAGAAAAATCCAAGGTTGGTAACCAGCTGTGTATAATTTTACATTACCATCTCAGAATCTCTCAGACCTATCAATATAGAAATATAGGATTTTTCTAGATTATAATTTGGGGAATCACCTCACAATATTTAGTCATCTGTTACAGGAACACTATCAGAAAATGGGGTTACACCCTTAGATGATACTATTATTACTCACATAATAGCTATTATCAAAAATGGATTTGGAAATGTTTCAGGCATCTATTGGCTTACACCTGGCATTATTATTTATTTACTATGGTTGAATTTGGCTTTCCTGCCAAAGTACTCAGTGTTGTTTATAGTTTTAAACTATAGCTTCCAATGCAAGCAATATGAGACAAAAGTATAAAGGAATCAGAAGCTGTAAATAAACATATTTAGATACCAGCTTTTTTAGACTGTTACATAACACAATTACATAATGACTGTGTGGAATGATCACTGCAAGAAACACTTCTTTACGACAAAAAGCCAAATGACAATTGATCCTAGCTAAACCAATGGAGAAGGCTTTCCTATATCAAACCTTTCTCCTGTGCAACCCAATGGAAGTGATATGATAATCTGCTACATCAATGAGTGGTTTAAGTAACTTTGGGGGGGGGGGAAATACATTGCTAGATGAGCACCCGCATACTTCAACAGTTCAAGCACTCATCCGTGTCTGTGCTGTGAACAGCAGACTTGCCTAAAGCTTTTTCCAACTATATGCTCATCTTGTCTTTCCTTTGCTGGAGCACAAGGCTATTTAAGGAAGTTTAAAAAAAAAAAAGTAGGGAAATTGTGAATTTCACTGCAGCCCCCCCCCCCCCCCGCAACAAGACTATTGCTCCCCCTTACACACATGCACACTCCCTCTCTACACAGCTTCCCTTCTTTGAAGCTTCTAATCAAGCCTTGCTTGACTGCTGCCTTTTATTAGATGGCTTTTAGATTTCTGTGTTAGAACCTTGTCTTCAGTATATTGAGTTTAACTTTAAACTGTGCTTTAGAGATGAATGCAAGTGTAAGGCACCTATGAATGGTTGTCCTGATTGTAGATTCTTTGCCCTTCTACAGGTCAATAAACCAATAGCCTGTAAAGGGAAAATATGTAATCATGGAGACCAATAAACATGCTTGTATCCAATCCCAATGAACTTGACCCTGCTGTCTAGGGCAAGGACCAATGGCCCTTTATGGAGGTCACTCTTGCTCCTACGGTAGCTGTACTCTATTGTTGTGCTGCTTCAATGCATCCAAACTAGATCTCATTGTAGACTTCCCATTTTCACCTCCATGCATCAGTGGCTGCATTGAAGGAACCACTGTCTCAGTTGTACCACATTCTCCCCAGCTATTTGATTCCAGCTATCTAAAACCTACTTTCACTGTGTGCTCCACTGTCTCTCTTTCTAGCCAATAAATTTTAGCAGATTGATTTACATGACCTTCCCATTTCATACATGCTTGTTTTCATCAGCCATCCCTTTGATCACAGCTTAACAATCCAGTACAGCCCCAGTGCAGTTTCAGCTGCCTGCCCTTTTGTCTCAGTCAGCCCTGCTGGTGTACTGCATGCAGGGAAAGCTCATCTTTGCTTCAATTCCCGAGGGCCAGAGAGAGAAAATTGAATTTATTTTAGAGCACAGCAACAAGCCAGGGAAGGTCAGTATCACTGTAATCTATCTTGCATCTCCATGGAGATAGGAGCCAGAGGAGTGACTTTCATCATTACACATTCTTTGCAAAGCTCATTATCCCCACATACGAAGTGTGGAAAAATGAATGAATGAATGAATGCACAATGTTTAATGAAGGCAATGTTCAGCAGCTGCTTTACTATACATTTTGTTTTATTAAAGAAAGTACAGACCCATCCCTGTGTTTGTGAAAACAGGAAACTACCCATGTAACTCATTATGTGTGATTAAGTACCCCAGCCTGCTGTTGAGCTGTGCGAGACAATGCACTTATGCAGATACCAAAAGGATGGAAGATGAGCCAAAAGTTGGGTCTTTCTACACTATAGTGGGAGGTTCTGCTTTCTTCTATACATTAGCGATAATGAAGAATCAGAACTCAAAGCTGGATAGTCAGAGGTACATACAAGCAAATAGCACAGAGTTTGAAGATCAGAGGACAAGATCATCTTCATGATAATGTAATGTTTAACTATTTTACTTTTTTGGTTTTATGTTTTTCTTAACTAGTGCAATCCTCCACATTTTAAAATAATTCAAAATATCATCAAAAGACCACTCCTAAGGTGTGTACTAAAATTATTTCTACACATAAAGTGATGGAAACTATAGTTAAAATTTTTAAGGTGGGTTATTGCTGAACTAAGCACTGCTTTATAGATAAAAATTCCTAAATCTCAAAGACCTCTCCTACCATATGAACCTGCCTGACAATTATTATTATACCTGGAGGCATTGCTCTGAATCTCCACACCAAGAGGTGCAGTAATAGGGCCTCCTTGGTGGCAGTGCCTCAGTTCTGGAAAGCTCTCCCCAAGAGGTCAGACTAGCCCTTTCATTGATAAGTTGTAAGCTATTAACATGGTTTTTATTTCATCTGACTTTTAATGTATTTTAATCCTGCCAGATGTTACTTCTGTATGCTGTTTCTGTTCTGGATTAAATAGTTTTAAAGTTTATCATATTAAGATTTTTATTGTTGTGTGTTGGGAACCTAAAAGGTAATAAAGAAATGTTGTTATACATATAATCAAAATATCACACAGTGCCTGGCCATTTGAAATCCTCATCTTATGTTAGCTGTCAATACGTTTGGCTAATATCAGCTGAAGGGGCAGAGAGGGAAATTTTCTAGTCATCACTGCAATGAGTCTATTCCCAATTACATTTCTTCTTAGCTTTATCACTTACAGAGGAACTGCACTGGATTAATGAACCTCTGTGAAGGCAGAGATAAATACAGAAGGAAATATTGCAGTGAATTTGCCCTCTGCTGAAGGTGTGAAGCCAGATATTTTTCTTTACACATGAAATCACAGCAGGAATTGCATGTTGTGTGATGGAAGCCATTTCACACTCGGTATGAAAGCATGGCAAACAAATAGCACAAGAGTCCTTTCTTTTGTTTGCCATGTCTACTGTGGGCCTAGTTTAAGAATCTTACATAGTATTGGGAATATATGCATAATGTGATGTTGCCATATTTTTATCAGTCTGCTGTCCACTGAATCACCAAAAATACAACAGAAAATTGCTGGTATTGTCTGAAAATGTATTTTTCTGATTTTCATGATGATCTGTTTTTGTCATAAAACAATCTTACCAAATAAAGGGTTTCCCATCCAACTTAAATGAAGTGTATTTAACAAAAAGATCAGGAAACCAATTCAATGGAAATAACAGAAGCAAAAAATATTTGCTTCCTTTTGGTTTTTTAAAATGATATGCTAGGAAGAACTAATACAAACATTTTGTAAAATGCAAAACCTGTCCGCATGTTTTAACTTGAAGTATCATCACTGATCAAACTACAGAGGTTTAGTGGATCTCGCAGACAACTTGTGTTCAGCCTTTAGTAACTTGTTTTTGTTTACACAGCCATCAAACTCTAAAATGTTAGAGTTAATCCAAGTAGCTTCATATTTATGTTAGTTTATGTTAAAATAGGTTAAGATACAATGTGCTTCAAAACGATTCCATGTCCAGTCCTGGCACACAACTATGTATCAGCCAAAAAGGTATACAAAACAGCAAACTGCCATATTTTCAAAAAGATTGTACACATTTAAAAATGAATAACACTCTTTTGGAGACACAGATGTCACACCTCTGTAATGTGTGTCCCCTTACATTAAAATCATGGTTTTGTCAAATGGATTTCCCTTATAAAACGCAAGTTTTTGCACCCTTAATCAGTATTGCTCTTCTGGAAAATATGAGCAAAAGGACAGAATCACTTTTCATTTTGTAGACCCAGTCCAAGACTTCTCAATATAAAACAAGGTAGAGCACATTACTATATCACACTGTTGCACAGTGCCAGTAAGATTTGCTTGCCCTTTGGTATCTTGCTGCTCGCTAGAGGAATAAGGGTAGTAATAGAAGGGTGGGTCTTTTGAAAGCAGCACATTCTACAATGTCTCGGGCTTCAGTGGATAAAGTGAGCACTTTCATTTGCTCAGTGAGACAGATTTTGACTAATTTCTGTTCCTGCACTGCTGCAGAAATGGTCAAAGCAGTGGGTATCTTGCTACCTCTCCAATAAAACATCCAGCATTCCTTTGAGTGTATAAAATAATACCATGCAGGACAGCTATCAGTATTTTAAATCTGTCCAGTAACTGTATCACAATGACTTATCAAGGATAATTTCTAAAGTGAAGCCAGTATAAGATCCTTAGATAATGATGCTTCAACAGAGGCTTTACTCAACAGCAGGAGCTCATTGCAAGTGACCCATGGGCACATGCACCTCCAGCCTTTGGTGCAGCCCTGCTGCTAAAATTCAGCTGCCTGGTGATGGTGGCATTACAAAGGCAGCAAAGAACTGTAGTTTGGCAGCAAGCCACCAAAAAGTGTAAGAAATTCTCATATAACCCCA